CCCTTTTGTTTATAATTTTTCTTTTCTCGCTTGATTATTTAATGTGTATCACAACTACTACTTGATGTATTGGTTACCAGGAAAGATATTGTTTTGAATTTTCAAATTATTTGAAAGCAAACTTATTATCCATACACTTGAAATAAACGTTAAATGTATGTTATGAGTGCAACAAAACGAATTTTATGTCTGTCTATTCTTTCTTTTGAATATCAACATAACCTGCAAGAAAGAATTATCCAAATTCAGAAAAAGTTGATATATTTCGATTAATTTGGTGATAGCCATTCATCCAGAACCTGAAATAGAAAACTCATAGTTGGTGAAAGACACTGATACGGTTGACAAACGAAAGAGGCGACAAAGAGACGAGTCATGAGTAATGCCCGTGATGCATTGAACTATCCTGCTGTATCGCCCTTTCAATTGATCAAATCTTCCCTTTAAATTATTACCGCCAAGCGCGGAAAGGGTTTAGAAATCGGTTCCTTCTTTAAAGTTATATCTGAAGTTTCTAACCATCTCCCAAGCAAAACTTATGACAGAAAACTCCTGAAAAAAAATTTCTGAACCAATCTTTATTTTAGATCTCTATTCAGATAGACGTAAGGAATTACAGACGGATTGCTTTCTATAACGTTTGATATGGCTCTTTAAAAGCTTTTTCATATCAAGAAAATGTTATCAACAACAAGCAAGAACACGAATCGGATCACTTCCCATATAAAGCCCTATTCTGGAAAGTCGTTACATTGAAAAAAATTGTAATTTTCAAAATTTCTCGGCAAAAGTGGCCAAGTAGTAGTATTCCGGCATTCTAAATTGGTATGGAACTTTGAACCGTCTGGGAAAATATTTCAGCTCTCTCTCATATATAAGGAAAACTGAAGTTCATATGACAAAAACGTGTAATTTTCAATGCTCCATGATGAAAATTATATCATAATAGTAACTAAACATTAAAAAATTAACTGTACCAAATTTGGACTATCCCGGCCTATTTTTGAAATCCTCCGCTAATAAGAAATTTTACGAGAATTCATTTTCTGTAGAGCAGAAAAGTCTAAGTTTTAATATGTCGTGGTGAAAATTGACACATAACCGCAATTTCATACAAAAATGAACTCTACAAAATTTGGACTATCTACGCCTATTTTTGGGTCCCGCCCTATGTGAGGATTAAACTTGTACTACATTTGGTTGCGTTTTGGGCCCGTTTCCCCATAAATACGTATATGAAAAATATGCCTATTCCTATTTCAAATTTATTATTCCTAAAATCAAATTAACTTTCATTGGACAGATCAACTTCAAGAAAAGTTTGACAAAAAGTTCTTGAAGACGACTATTCGATAATTTCATCTATTACTTAGCAATAAATTAATACTTTTTTTACACGATTTTGAAATGCCATTTTTTTACACTAATTTTCTACTCTAGCACGGATCAAAAAGAAAAAAACCTTTTTTTTAAATTCTAATTTTGACAGTGTCTCGCAGACAGTTGTATATATAGCAATAAAGTAGGGTTGAGGAAATACTGTTATCAGAAGCCAATCGACAGATGCCCTCATATGTGTTAGTGACTTGCTCTACTGCTACTTGGACGTTAATAAGCATCGAAATTCTTCATTTCTCAATTCTTGTTCAGTTATATGCACTTTTGGACTGAATTTCGACTGTAGATTAATTTTAATTTGCTTTTTGTATAAAAAATGGATGGTTTTTGTGTTATGGCTATGTCATATGGATTTCATTATTACCTTTTTGCACGGTGTTTTTTAGAAATATATAGAGTTTTTACATGATTTTTTAAAGTTGTGTAAAATATCACCAAATTTACCATATACAACACAAATTTTTTTTGCACAGATTTCTCAGGACCGCTTCTACTATGTAAAGAGAAGAGTTGGGGTGAAGCTATCGAAACTTTTGGCAGTCGGCCGCCTGAGCGCATTTAAGGGACTGAAAAAATATTAGCGTGGCTGAGAAACCAGTATTGCTATGTCTACACTTCTTCTTAGACAATGAAAAAGTTTAACGGGATTCCCAATGCTAACGCTGCCTTTGCACAATAACGATAAACCAAAAGCATTATGGTTCGAACTAGGGATAGCGCGGATATCTGATTCACAGAGCTGCTTCAAGTTCTTTTTGGTTGCAGAATATATGTTTGTGTGCGATGAAGTTTCGTGGTGGCTACACTTCTCCCAAAGTCACAGAAGCACCCAATGTTAAGATATTAGATGACAGATCTTACCCTTTTCAGAAAGAGATCTTCGGTTCACCGCCATTCTCTTACATCTGCCGCAGCTGAGGCCTCAGGCCCCTCCATGCAGTAAGGCATTTGTCCACTACTAATTGGGTGTCTCTGCCTATCACTCGTTCACAGCAAGTGTCGACTTTAAGCACCAAACATGTCTGTCCAATATATACGCTAGTAATAAAACGATTTAACGGAATAACAGAATTAGTTCTATTAATCAGACTATGCGAATTTAATATTTTTTACACCACTTAATATGGCCGCCTATTTAATAAATCCCATATCCAACTATAAGGACTCTGAGTGGCAAGACAACAACAAATGGTTATTATTACTTGCTTTTTATTATTTCGTAGCGCAAACTGTACGATGAACTTTGTGTTACTCGGTCTCTCTCGCGCTGTCATGGTCATATGAAAAGATGTATAAAACGAAAGATGACGTATAAACGAACGGTGTTTGAAAGTTGAACTAACAAAAACAATAACATGATAGTGTCATGAAGTGTATGGCATTTGTGTCAATTGTCTCTCTGACCCTTCCTATCTATACATATACACAGAAGCATACACTCATACACAAGAATCCTTGGATGAATGTATACAAAGATGCAATGATATTATCTAGCAGCAAGTACTGACAACAACATTCATTATCCCCTACCCAAGTGGCACAGAGCCAATAATCCTGTCGGCAGCCAATTACGGTTTAAGTAGACAATTTTTCTTTAAGCGCCAATGAATTAACACGTTTAGGATTTCAAATATTTTTAATGCAGAAAGTTGACGTTTAAAGTGATTTTCCTTTGAATCCCTTCCAAAGTCAATCGAAGAATATATACATCATAAAAGAAGAAATTTATAAAGACCGATAAATATATACACCAAGTACCGATTTATTGCAAGAATGTTCTCAACGATCACAAACGAAGATTTGCTAACAATCTTTACAATGATTAGAAAGGTTTTCATTATATGATGACACATATTCGATGGATTACCAAAGTTTTCGCCTCCTTTCTTAGACATATGCATCGAATTTTTGAACAAAAGTCTATTGCAATTTTTCTCGTTGTTCACATTTAGTATCAACATTTTTCCTATTACTAGAATATGGCTGTGGGCGGGTTAAAGTAAAAAATGACTTACGTTGTTAAAACTGCAGCCTTCAATCTCGAGGAATTATAACAACAGATAGAATCGACCGAATGACCTAATTAGATCGATTCAAAACCGTGCTTGTATACATATGTAAGTATTTTGCTCGCATATTAGTTCTAATCTCGTTCCATCCGTATATCCAATTAACGTCGAGGAGATGATGGTCAAAATATTTGCAACAACCCACCTCCGTTATGTTATTGCAACACACGAAGTATACTGAGGAAATCCACTCAACCAATTTACAATATCTTCCGATTAAATATGTATTTTGTGAAACCGAAATATTTCCACTCTAATATCCAGAAAATACCTGGAGAACATAATATTATTGTTCTTATTATTGTTGTTAGACGAGATCTTTATTAAATCGAATAGACTAACCATTTAGTCTTTTTTTTTAAAAACGAAAAGACCTTGGTTGTTCAGTTGTGACCCTAAAATTTATTTCTTTGGTCTAAATTATCATTATAATCTATTTAAAAACTAGAAAGAGCAGCAGCAAATATTTAAAAAGTAGGATGATCAGCAGCACTTACGCTTATCCACTTCTTTACGTACATGCGAAGCTTTTCTAATCAAACGCACTTTTACAAATACAAATTCAGTGGATGACATTTAAGGAGAGTAAGAAAGAGTAAGTATACCTGTTACAATATTGAAAATACGAAAAAGTCTATCTAAATATTCCGCAAAAATGAAAGTTAGTGCAAACATATTGGCAATGCCTACTCATTCACAATCTCGCACAATTACTACTCATTTGGAACGTCGCTATGCAAAGTGTGTTCTTTATGAACTGTTCGTAATTGGTATTGTGTGTGCCCTTTCTATATTTCTATATATACATACATATATATATCTTATCCCTGATTCTTAAATCTGCCTATCATAAAAACGGTAAATATATAGTGAATCTCTGACCATCCGTTAAATAGCTTAAGCAGCATAAATTTAAGGGCTTCAGAATTCGTCCTATTATAAAAAAGTATGAGGTGCTATTATCTAAATAATTTATGGATATTTTCTTTTGATTTCTCTTTTTAATGTATTTCGTATTACAAATGCATGAGTTCTGTTCATGCTTTTATTTTATTATATCTTTAACGCATAAGAGAAAAAATTTGAAAAGACATATTTCTTTGACGTTGTCTTTGTTTGAAAGATTTTGTCTACTATTTTTCTTTAAATATTGATGTCTAAAAATATAAATCTTAGAAATTATTTTATCGCCGGAGGCAAACGACAAAGGTTTAGTTCGTTTATATTTTAATTATATGTATGTGTACTTTAAAGTCATTTTTATAATATGCTTTTATATATTCGTATGAATTTAGTGTAATTGAATGCAATCATTATTCAATTAACTTAATTGCATTCATTCGTTTATTCATTTATTCGGCTATTGTTACATTAAACTAATTAACATCTCTATTTCACGTGCTAAGAAGCACTTAAATGGAATTTTCTTTTAAAGAGGGATTCTCACCGCAACGAAATGTTAGCGGCGAGAATTCTTAATAATGTACTTTATCTGTCTATGTATAATAGGTTGAACGAAATTTCTGTCGTATTTTACTTATTTAATTGATTTTAATTCATGTGGAACCCAAACACTTTGTTTTAACACAAATCCAAGAGATTTAATGTGATCTCCAACAGTTGTATGATGAACGCATAACTCTTCTGCAATTTGTCAACTTGTTAAATGTGGGTAATTTTGCAACATGCTTCGCGAAACATCACTACCGATCTTGGATGGTCGTCCAAATTGACCATTCTCTTGGAGGCTCAGATCCCCGGAACGAAATTTGCTTGATACGTTGCTTACTTTTTGGAATTCATCTGCTGCAGAACTTTCCCTCCAACCTATTAAGTATACAGCACGTGTTTACTTCTTAAAAAGTAGCGATTTTAATTTTATTGGACAGTGAGTTGGCATATGTATGTATGGGTGTATGTATTTTCAAATGCCCTAAACGAATTCTTTTGTAATATTTTTATACTCAGTAAACATACACGACGAGTACGCGACTGAGTCTTTGCTCTAAGAGATGGCAATGCGTATGAGTCGTAGTTTAAGTTGATACTTAAAGTTTGAATATTCTGTTATTGATATAAGCAAAATGAAATCGAGTTTTATTGCAATAGTTTGAAGAAGATGTACTGTCAAAAGTGGAGAGTTCATTCCGAAAATTATGAAAACTCTTTACTTTGTAAGACTTAAAAGTTACTAGTAACAGAGCCTTAGGCATGGTGTATGACCAACAGTCCAGAATTTGGCGCATGGGCAGTGTCCTAAGATCTGGTATTTACGGGTTAGAATTGCTGTAAATTTTGTAGAACATCAATTTTGTTTCATTGTCTTAACAGATACTTTGAATGACAACAAATTTTTACCTACGGAAAAACAATTTTTCTTTTACTTTTTGTTTTAATACATAAATATATGCTTAATAATCTTCTCAACGATTATTATGCTATTACCTCTTCTTCCAAACGAAATGCTTGCAAACGAATTCCATTTAGGCTGTTGCAAGAGCGTTATCTCTTAAGAAACCAGCCTTTTATCTGGTACGCAATTAATAGCCTAAAATCTGCTGTTGAAGCAACAGCTCAAGATTTGATGTTTAAGTAGTAGCTGGATATTTAAGCATTGGCTCAAGAACTGATCGGCACATCTGGCACATAGGCAACAGCCTAAGAGATTTGTAATTCCTCACTTCTAGAGAATTTTCCAACTAAATGCGTGCTGTGCCTAATGTCTTAGTCTGCTGGTACGGACTTTTTTCCCTAGCTCAACAATTGAAAACTGGGTTACTGGGTAAAAACAAATTATACAGATGTCCACGGATGGTAAAACTTACGTCTTTGCGAAGGCTGAATCAGTAAGAAAGGGATAATATTGTTGCCATTGCCTCTAAACCTATGTTAGACATGATTGTTGTTGTCAATCGACTTGATATTAATGACAATCCTCCCAATTCCAAGGTAGAACTCAGCAAATTGGGAATACGTAAAACTATCTTAAAGCTAAGTGTACGATCAAAATCAACTTGTGAATTTGGTACTCACATTTTAATTATTTCCGGAAAATTACCTATGTAAACGATTTCGGGTTTAAACACTGTAACTTGTAAACTACACTTACCGACTTTCATCATTCCTTTTTACACCAATCATTCTATTCCGCTTAAATCATACGTTGTAGGTCTGTTAAACTTCCATTCAAGTCACTTTCCTTGTTGTACCTATTTTTATTTCGTTTAACTCTTTACCTTATGCTCTAATCACGTTATCATAGAGCAATATTTGTCTTCATTTAGCTATCAATTATGCTAAATTCATAAATCACCGACAGAGGTTTTTTGTAAACGGGGCAGGCCAACACTTCAACTACTTGTCAAAATAAAATTTTTTTTATAATTGTGTACAGGTGGAACGATGTTAACGCTTGGATTGTCAGCACAAGAAAAGAACCAAGAGGGTTTTATTCCTTCGTTAAAATCACCGCTTTATGCTCTAATCGGCGTTGTCGATTGTCTCTAATTCTGGTTTTCACTACTTAAATCACACCATGTGGTAATCCCACAGTTAAGCTAAACCCAAAATACGTACAATAACTGAATTAATCTTAAATCTGTATGCCCAAAACCAAAATTTTTCCTCGTTTCAGTCCTTGCAATGCATCGGTCAAAGAGTGAACAGAATCTATAGTTTTTGCCAAAATTCCAATGCGGGTTCAAGGAAGTCTTGCGGATTATAACTTACGTAGTGTTGTTAATAGCCGATATGGTAGATTTTGATATTTATGTGTAGAAAATACAGGAAGCAATTTAGCCACTGGCAGTGCCAGACAGCAAACATCTTCGTTGACTTATCAGTCTTCACGTGGTAGATTTTTGTCTATTCAGATTTCAGTTTTCATCTAAACGCGACTAGTAGCACTTAATTAATTGACAGGCAGTCGGGATGATTTTGTGAATATGTATATGCATTTCGTCTCTTTCGTCGCCTACATATTTATTTATGAAAATGTGCAAATCGAAAGCTTTCGTATATTAATTCAATCAGATAAATAGCGAAATTGCATATATCCACTAACATATCGTTGGTATCTGCTTTTTTCGTTCTTTTTTGTTCATATATTTCATGGCCGTTTGCTTCATTCAAACAAGTTGAGAGAGTACGATAAAATTCAAAACTATTTGTTTTTAGCTCCGCTAGATGGTTTAAGTTTCATATTTTTTTAAACTTTTTTTTATATTTTTATATATATATTTTTACAATAATTTTTTATTTTCGGACTATTTGCAAATCATCATGTTTGGTAACCTTGACGAGTTGTCGAGATCGAGATGGAGAAGACCGAGTAGTCTTTATCGTCCAACGGTATTGGTCGGTAATTGGTTCGAAGAGCGTTGCTCGAGCGAAACTGATCCTAAAGCCATTATACCGGGAATTTATGGTAAAAGCGGCGGTCTTGACGACGTCACAGTGTATAAAACCGATTTTATAAATCCACTCAAAGAGGATTCCGAAAAAATCGCGACCGATTATTTGAAATTAAAGCAGGAAGGATTCAGTAATCGTCTCAGTGGCGAAATTGCAAACTTTACATTTGGAGCTGGCGATTCATGTACCAGAAATCTACCTTCTATTACGCGTACCGCATACAGAATGCCGCCGAGGAAAAATCATGACGAAGAATACGTGCCAAGGCAAGGAAAGCGGCAAAATGTCGATAATTTACAAAGTTACGATGTGAAGAACTCTAATGTTCGATTAATGCAACGCCAAGCCTGCCAACACTGGATGCAATACAATTACCCATACGATGTCACGCGGTATAGGGAACAATTTACGCCAAAATCCGTGGTGCGTTATCGTGCCGATTTAAATCGCAAAAAATAGTTATTTCAAATTAGAGGAAAGCATTAAACAAATTCATGCGTTGGCAAAGAAAAAAAAAAGTAGAAGCTCAAATATTTATTTGCAAACGAAATATTTCCCATTTTATTTGATTAGTGTGGGGGAGGCTGTGATAGTTGTTTATTTTGGCTCTTTAAGATTTCAAAACGTACTTTTGACCGGAATAATTTTATATTGATTTCAGATTATATCGGTTTGCTGTTGTCACTTTATACAAAATGGGATATGTATCCGCCCTCACAAGCATTTTGAGAGAAGGTTCATTTAGTCTGCATGCTTCAGTTTTCATTAACGACGATATGAATGCGGAAAAGTCAATGCAGAAAAACCGCGTTCACGACGAATAATTTAAAAACGCTCCGCGCTATGCTAAAAAAAGAGGGTGAAGTACGTAAATTCCACTTTTTCGCAAGCCAGTAAGTCAGTAAAAAATGCTTTCTACACAGCTTACACCAATGTAGGGAGAGTAATCCCGTAGCTTTGCATTTTATACAACAGCGACAGCCGCATATTTCATAAATGAGTAACTTCACGGCGTTTTCGAAAAGCCTACCATAAATAAGTAGTAGACTACGCACATAAATGCTCGCTGTTTTAAGTTTCATTGCAGACGTGAAACCGAACTTTTAATGAAACGTTATGATATTTATCAGGTGAAGGCAGGAAACGAAAAAGTAAATTTTAATTTTCTAACTTTGCGTCCCAATCTTTTCCTTGGATATTTTCGCTAATGCTCAGTTTTCAAGTCTAGTCAGGTGGAATCCGTATTTGCGTCTACCGCGTCATCAAGTTATTGGTTTCGATAAATAGTCTGTCTTAGGTGCTCTTTACTAACTTTATCTACACATTACTTTATTTATGTGCGATTTTCTCACTGTTCATTAACACTAAAAACCACTATTACAATTTAAGAAGAAAATAATCTATCCGCGACTTTTTCATACCTAGAATATCCTAGCGTTGCCATATTATTAGCGTATGGTTATGTTATGAAGTCTTCTGGCAATAACTACTTGTAACGATAGCTGGGTGGTAATTATGGAGCTGAAAGACAGCTTTCGCCTTTTTTGCCAAACAGTCGAACACAAAACAAAAGGTAAGTTTTTCTTACGTGATTACAACCCCTACTTTATGGTTTACGTGGCAACTGAGGCTTATAACCCTTAAAGTGGAATTGAAAATTTGCGTACTCGATATGTGTTGCTTTGGGAATTTAAAGAAGGCGGTAGCGATGAGATAAAAGCTGAAAAATATGCAGAGTATACGCCTAACGCCTTTTCGGACTTGACGACACTGATGTAGAGGTAACATTGGATTATTTAAGATAAAAAAAACGGGAATTAATCATGACTTGTCCTATTAATATGTATTAGCTTTGTAGAAAACCTCTTCCATTTGTCAACTTTATCAGTGTCTTTTACTAACTAAGAGCTTTTCCTTTCAAGTTCTAGATGAATGGCGATTACCAAATTAATCGAAATAGGTAAACTTTTCCCAAGTTTGAATAACTCTTTCTTGCAAGTTGCGCTGAATTTTTGTTTGTCGACTGTGAATAGAAGAAGAAGAAGATAGCAGAAGTTGATATTCAAAATGAAAAATAGACAGGCATTCACAAAATCACTTACTTACATGACGCATTCATTAAATCACTTAATTTACATTTAACATTTATTTCAAGTTTCGATTTCCAATATTTTGAAAACTGAAATCAATATTTTTTCTGTTAATCAATACATCAGTCGTTATATTTTTTTAAAGTTCTAATAAATTTTTTACAATTATTTTTCTGAAAATTTATCTTCTGAGATTATAAGTAACGATCGCTTATTATGTCTATCAGAAGAAGTGTTGATAATCCACCGGGTAATTTTAAAGGTGTGAAGCAGAATAGCGTTTCTAGTGCGAATCGTTATGCGCCAGCGGTACTGGTTGGTAGTTGGTTTGAAGAACGATGCTCTGGCGAAACCGATCCAAAAGCTATAACGCCGGGAATATATGGTAAAAGCACTTGTGCTGAGGACTTTTCATTATACAAAACTCATTTTACAAGACCGATACCAGAAAATTCTCGCAAAGGTGCGATGGACTTTGTCAATTGGAAACAAGAAGGATTTAGTAATCGAGTGGGTACTGAGGTTACTAATATTAAATTTTCTGATGGAGTTGAATTTTATAAAAATGCCACTACAATGACGGACATGATGTTTCGTATATTGCCTCAGCAAACGGGAGAAGCATCTAGTACATATACATTACGTGGTTACGGCAAACCGAAAATAGATATGTTACGCAGTTACGGCAACCTCACCAAAACTGGTTTATTAAAGTGGCGAGCGTGTGAGCAATGGAGAGAAAAAAATATTCCTGTCGATGTCTCGCATTACAAACAAAACTTTAAGCGAATAGAAGTAAAACCAGATCCACATCGAAGAGTAAAAGCGTCGTCGAAAAGCATACCTTAACTAATGAAAATATAAAATAGCAAAAAAAAAAAAAAAAATGCGATTTTCATTCACTTTTTTTAAAACTAGTAAATAGCTTTATGCCTTTGCAGCTCCTTGGCTTTGTTCCCCACGTTCTATGTACGATCTTACGGAAAGAACTGACAGATTCCGTAGCGATCGTAGTTTGCCGAGAAGGGGAGACTGGAGTGAAGTCAGAAGAAGATAGGGGAAACCGAATGTTATACTTTAGGAAGTAATTTTGTCTTTGAGTTTTTCTTTAATCTTCTAAAGAATTCTAAAGAATTGGCTCTTAATTCCGCCATGCGTTTATTGGACGTCTAAGCAAAGCCGTTTTTAATTTGCGCAAACAAGCATGCACTTCATGCACGGTCAGTGCAAGCCTTAAAATAAGTCTCCTAATATATTGGCCCCATTAACGGTAACAGCGGTGATTATCCTAGCTGCAAGTAGTCATTGTAGTCGACACATGGTTTGGAACAAGGTACCGTTCTGAACTATTTTTTTGGAGTGCTGTTAGTACGAAATAAACACAACCCTTAGCAACAACATGGAAGATAAACTGGTTTCTAAGTGTACGAAAAAACTGGAGGACTGTCTGAAATGCGTCTGAATAAAAAACAAGCCACCAAATCATAGTAACCTAATGTCAGCGGCAATTGTCGAGCGGTAATGCTCACTTCTCCCTTCTCGCCTCTTACCACAAAGCTAATTGTTGTCAGAATATTTCGACACATTTAAAGGTTCATACTATCTAAAAGTCGTATGGTTTTGTCCATAATCGTGCTACGTCAGTTTGCCGTTCTACGAATTTGTTGAGGGATTTGTTGCGTATTATCAAGGTCGGACTTCCCGTGACGATGTTAGATCCTCTATACATGCCATGAGTTCATGTGGAGAAGTCAACAGTTACCACGGATTTTGATTTGCTTTTTTGTTGCCAATTAATAGCACACATGTTCATTTGCGTTATACAACATCTCACCTCTTTCATTATCTTTTAATTACAATAATGTATTACTTAAAAGCGTATTTGCATGCATAATGAGCTAATATTCAATCTTATGTAACCTTTGAGCTTAACTATGTACATTTAACTGTATTCTATACATTTTGATCCCCCCTGTCGTGGCCAACCCTTCCATAACAAAATTGTTTACTGTATCGCTTTACCTCTTCTATAAACCTTACCGTTTGGGACCGAAATGGTGGGCGATTTTTGTCATCAAAATAAATAAAGCTATAAGGTGCATAAAAACCGATATTTTCATTAAAAACTTTTCATAAGCACCCGAGCTTCGTTTAGTATCTTATATTAATATTTATCAAGTTAAAGTTGTAAACGTGAATTGAAGTGTGATTCGGTCCATTAATAAAGCGAACGTAACTTTTTCTTTCACAATCTTTTGTCATTTGTCTTGACCGTTAACTAAGTAATTTTCTTGATGAAATGTGTTTGCCATTGAAGGCTCTACTTTTCAATATATAACACGATGAAATGTTATTTGTTTTATTTGTCATTTTAAAATAACTTACAGATATTATGGTTTGAAACGTATATAAGGCATTAGTCAAATTATTGTCGGAATTAATTAATAATAATAAAGTATGTTTGCTTGTTGGTCTCTTATTACTCGATAAAATTAGAATGTCATGCTTTTAACATGATTTATTTCCTTTACTTGTTAGCAATGAAAATCTCATGTTAGAGCCTTTTACTTACCTCTGCCATTTTAATATAATATAGGAAAGATTTATTTAAAATTTTTATTAGCTTAAGATACTCCTAAGTGCTCTTTTTATATCTTTTACATCTTTTGACTTGCACGTAATTGATTTAAATTTAATTAAAATTATCAAAGGCATTTTTGTGATTTTATATTAAAATTCCATATATGTAAGATATGTAGTACTGGTGCACCTACGCAGACCAGGTTTGTTATTTATTATTAAATATTGGACAAAATTAAATTTCATTTATTTTCTTTGAAAATCTAAATTGCTGTGAAAATATCATACGCCTAAGGAGAAGTAATAATAATTTTAGTGTTTGGAAAGCCAATATATTATGTTGTTTTTGTGACCATATTTGCCTTTAAAAGTTGTGTATTTATGCAAAAAGCTCGATAATTACTAACTCGTATTTGCATTTATGTATTTATTTATTGTAATAATTTTTATAAAGTTATAATGACAACGTGTGAAATTATATTAATGCATAATTTTATTTTAAATGAAATATTTTCTTTTTTTATATCTCTCGCTAATAGCTGATGGTGTGTTAGTTTGTCTTTTCATTTGCAACATCAAGACATATGCAGCGGAGATTTTATAAACTAATTAGCACGCAAATTATATTCGGTCGAGACCGAATCTGTTTATTCCCTTCACCATTACCTTAAAAGAGATTAAAAGGAAGGAAGTTTATTTTTAAGTTTTCATACTCTGTAATACTGGATGGGAGCGGTTGGTTTCTTCTAATTTCAGAATAAAAATGGATATTTATATGGTGTATGTGTTGTACATAACAAAATGACAGCAAAAGTGTGCACAATTTCTGTTGCATAGGTATGTGATCGCTGTAGGCGTGTCCTTTTTAGGCGGCGTGGGTGGTCTTAGTCAATTTTTTCCCATTTCATCTATGGATGACGCTGTAGTAGTGTTGTAGATTTATCTACTGTAGTTTATGAGTAAGAAACTAATTTTTCACTCCTTTTAGAAAACAGAGATGGTCTCAGTTTACGCGGTACTGTGATTGTGTCGTTGCACTGATTTGGTCCATTTTCAATGCCAATCTGCGTGCAGAACCTTCCAATATTTCTGCCTAATTTGAACAGGATATCTCTGTTTTTGCTATCAGGAGAGCGCTAACAATAGACATAACACAGACAGTCAGACGAACGGAGATGGTGATTCAAAATTTCAGGCTCAGGATCAAGAATGTTTATGCTTTTTATGGTCTTCGAATGGTCCTTCCGGGCGTGGCACACGTGTTGACAAAATGAATATACCACTCACCTCTCAGTGATGGGTACAAAAATATAATATCTAGTTGATCAGCCTAAGGTTCTGTAGTGATTTATCCACGTCCGTCCGACCGTATCTCTGCCCATCGATCTGTCAAGCCACGGATTACTCCAAAACTAAGCCTTCGGACATACACGCTTAACTGATCGCCAGAGGAGAAGTTTGAAAATAGGCATTACATGCCTTCAGCTACAATCAGTAAACGTAAAAGATGGAGATGTTGGCGCAAAAGTTAACATTTACAAAGATCGTCTAAAAGTTTGGAGAAAGAATCATACACAAATAATTGTAACTTGCGGCCTGTTTTTTATATAAAATTGATTCCTATATTGAATCCTATAGAATTCTCGAAAGCAAAATGAAAAAGTTACTACAAAAGTTGTCTCGAACGATCGATCCCTAAATTTAATGACTTAAGTTCATGTTCTAATGTGTCGTTTTCAAAAGGTGATTATCCAAGGTTACGTCTAAAGCGAATACAAGTTTATTTTTTAAAGTCTTTAGTATCTATCAGCTTACATCAAAATCGAAGTATTTATTACTCTTCTTAAATGAGGTTATCTTTATAGTATTGAAGTAATTTTTCTTCAATTTATTTCATGTTACCTATAATCTAACTGGAATCTAACAAGTACCGAATCTTGAGATGGCTTGATTGGATAATTTTACCTTATTTTAGAATGTTTTTCATTCCATCGCTAACTGTTCATCATCATATCGAAATCCCTTAATATTTGTTTTATACTCTTAACACGTGATTTATTATTCTTATTATAAATTTAGCCACTGATTAAATTCTAAGAGTAAAGTCTTAAAACACTAGCAT